TTCCTAGCACCTGTCGCTTACTGATTGTTTGGAATTATAAATATGAGCGTAGTTCGTCTGTTAATATCACATGCACTTTTTAGTTTGTTACTCAGACGCAGGCCGTGCGCTGCATGAGACAAAAAAGTAATATAGCCAAAACAACCGCATAGTGTAGCTCTTTAGTGTAGATGCATGTTGATTTTATCAGACGATGCCGCGATTATAAATGAGAGTGTCTCCCGGTTAACATGTATTAAAAGGGGTCGTGTTTATTCATTATTTAGTGTGGTATTTTTTGACAATATTCACTCATCATGACAGTAAAATAGGGCATTCTAAGTCAATATACTGCAGAATTTCCTCTCTCAATCAGTAGAAAATATGGTTAACACCCGGTATGCACCCTTGTATCGTGAAACCGGTATAATTTTGAAAAATACCGTGATATCAATTTTTGGTCATACCGCCCAGCACTACTCCGAAGACAACAAGATGTTGTTCAGTGCCAAGTTGTGGAAAAACACAGTCTTTGCATTGCCTTCCTTCTGATCCCAACATTAGGAAAGAGTGGTTAAACTTGATTTTTAATGAAGTTGCAGATCGCATCCGAGATTTACTTCCGAGTCTACAATCCGCCACGTCTATTCAAACAGAGCATTCTGATGAGGGGGGACAAAACAGGACAGAAAATAGCCTATTACTTCTAAATGATGATGCTTTTTGATGTAAAAATCTTGATAACATTATAAGTGGACCTCTGAGAACAGTACTAAATAAAAAACAAAGGCAGTTCACGACCCCTTTAAAAGTTAGTGTGAACTAGTCATTGTTGTAAAAAAAAATGTGGTAACTGTTTTAGTTTATTGATTAAATTAGACTATATTTGATATATGGTTATTGTCTGTGCTGGTCAGTGTTATGTACAGCATTGCCTGGAAATACTAGCGAATTTGAGATTTCCACCCCAGCTAAAGTCATGGAAATGTGTGGTTTTATAGTTTTGCTTGGCTTTTTAATATTTCATTAGCTTCATGAGTGTTCTGTTTAAAACAATTATTAAAATGCTCTATTCAGAAATCTCAAACAACCAAAAACGTCGTGTGAATTCATTGCTCAAAAGGCGTGGGAACCCTATATGTCTTTGCGTTCATGCTGTTGCACTTGTTTCTTCAGTGCGTCATGTATCATTGGCGTGGAAATGTGCTATGGTTACTTTGTGATCTGTTCTCTGAGCAGAAACCTGCAACTGAAAATGAAAAAAAATTCATTGTTAAGGTCAAAGTTTTGTGGGCTTGAAGACATGCTCTGATGCTTGCCTCAAATAAAAATAGATACGGGGCCATCGTCTGTGTATTAGCGTCTGTGAAGTTTAACTTTACAGTTTCCGTTAACAAGTTCTGTTCAGAGTTTTTTTTTTACAAGTGTACAGGGTCACGCGCTACCAAAATGCTGGCAGTTTAAATATTGTGTATAAGACATTATATTGAATAATGTTTGACAATTTAAACTTACAATATATATATATATATATATTTAAATATTTCAAACATTGTTAAAATAACAGATAATGTATTAGTGAACTGCACTTTACCTGTGGGCTTTTTCATAATACTAAATAATTAATCAGTTATTTTCAAGTTCACTAGGGGGGTTAACAGCAGAGTTGTTCCAGTTGCGTTGTTTCACACAACTAAGTAGTTGTTGTTAGAGTTCAGTTCTTTCTTTGTCTTTGAGCATGAACAGTGTTCTGTGAAGTGCGGAACAAGAATAAGGGAGTAATGTCTTCTACAATTCGGTGTTTAATTTACTTCCAAAGTCCTTGTCAACACAGAAATGGCATTACTTTGTTGTAGTGTTCTGTTATATTCAGTATGTTGTTAACAGTTTGAATCTCAAACAAGACGTTCACATACCCTTTGCCCCTTTATGCAGAAAAATGTCACAAAACTTTTATGAATAATAACAACCCCTTTATAAATGTGCAGTGGTTTCTTGAAACATGCGTTACCTTGTTTTTAAAGGTTCTGGAACTAAAGCGGTGCGAAAGGGCCTATAAGAAAAATGTCAGTTAAAAAAAAAAAAAAAAGACATTCAAATTAATATTTTTGCATATTTTTCAAAAATGTTGCTGAACCTTTAAAAACAAGGTAACGCATGTTTTTTGCGCGAACTATTTCCCAGTACCATTTAAAGGGTTGCATTCGCACCGACAGTGTGTACTAAGAAGTGACATAAGCCGGTCGACAGCGACGTCATTTGTGCGCGGTGTTCAACAACAGAAACAAAGAACAACATTAACAACAGGAGGATGGAGGACGCTGTGATCGGAGCTGTGTTTTTGTTGTGTCTCACGGGTTTCACAATAATGGACATGGAAAGTCGACGTATACGTAAAGCGATTGAAAGAACGGAAAGGAGGACTAAGAATCTCCAACGACAACTGGCAGTGCTACATTTGCTACAAGTGCCTGCACTTCAGCGTCCGTCCATCTATTGCTGTTCTCCATACTTGCGAAATAAGTTGACATGCTTACAGTATGTTTACACGGCGTTTTAAATCATGGCGGGTGAGGGCGTTTTCATACGCGTTTGGCCAATCAATGTCTACTTACGTCACGATTAGTACCAGTTGTGCTGGTTAGACCCTGCTCCGGAGTAGGAGCTAATTTGGTTCTCGAAAAAGGCAGTCCGGTACTAAAATCGCTCCCAGTTCCGGCGGTGCGAACACGCCGAAAAGTGGGTAGTTCCACAATTAGTTCTGGTACTATGAAAAGGTTCCTGTGGTGCGAAAGGCCCTTATGTACACAGTTTAGGCCTATGTACAGTTCAAAAGTGTGGAGTCTGTAAAATTGTTTTAATGTTTTCGCTTTTGTTCACCAAAGCTGCGCTTCTGTTAATTGATGCAGTTTTAATCTTATGTATTGCAGCATTCTGAATGTGACGAAGGACTTTTATAAATAAAATGAATTATAGAACATATTTAAAATAAATTACTATTGTAATTTATTTGAAAATATATTTTATTCCTTTGATGGCAAAGCTGGATTTTCAGTATCATTACTTAGGGCTGGGAAAATAAATCGATGCATCGCGAATCGAGAAATCGATTTTCCGAATGCATCGCGATTCTTTCTTGAGTCGATTCTGAGCTTAGTTTTGAACAGCAGATGGCACTGCATGCTTTAGAAACAGCCGTAATCTGCTTGTTTCCAAATCCTTACACACACTTGAACCTAAAATAATCATTCATAAAATTCAAAAAGTTTGAAGCGAATTACAAGGGTGTTCACAGTGGGCTGTGTTTACATTAATCTCGCGTCATAAAAGCATTTTGAGCTGAGGTGAAATTAACATTACATGACTCAGCCGAGCGCACAAGCGCTGTTCTTCATGAGCATTTGAGTGTGCAGATAAAAACTAGATTAGAGCGCCGTCTGCTTTTAAAGTCTAAGCTCAGAATCGCGATGCATTCTGAAAATCTATTTATCGCCCCAGCCCTATCATTACTCCAAACTTCAGTGTCATGATCCTTCAGAAATCATTCTAATATGCTGATTTGCTGCTTGAGGATAATTTCTTCTTATCATCATCAGTGTTGAAAACAGTTGTGGTGCTTAATTTGTTAATATTAATGAATGTTTTTTTAAAGGATTTTTAAAGAAATGAAAGTTTATAAGAACAGTGTTTATTTAAAATGGATATGTCTTTGTCTTTGTCACTATACAAGTATAGTGAAATTTGAGCAATCCTAACAGTGCAGTCACATGTAACTTAAACATCTGTAATACAAAAAAATAATAATAAAGTATGTTATTACTACACAATACAAGACAAACAATACTTCACTGTCACTTTTGGTCAATTTAGTGTGTCCTTGCTGAATATAACAAATTCAAACAAATCTTATCGACCTCAAACTTTTGAACTGTGGTGTATGTATATGTAATGTGTACTGTTACAGTATATAGTGATGTGAACTGTTATACTTTATCAAACGTGGAGGATTGCTAATCAACAAACAAAATTAAATGTATACTTACTTGTTACTTGTTACAAACATGTTACACGTTAAATTCAAATGTATTAAAGCTTGCTTCTGTTTTTCACTTTCAGGGAGCTGAATTCAAAGGCTTTGAAGTTCAAGATGAAAATAGCAGTGCCCCGGTTCGTGCTGGACGAAAATCATGTAAACGTAAGTGTCACTTCAGATGCAAATTATCCTAAGAATCTCCAAAAGTCTTTTGTTTCATTGTGTTTGCATAGCTTTTTATCTTAAAATCATCCCATACAATTAAAAAAATAAAACCCACCAGTCATTTTAGTAATTTTTCATCTTGTACAGCAGAGCGTCACTTCAAGGACTCCAGAATGAACAGTGTTGGTGTAGCTAATTTTAAATAATACTTACTATTTCAGTCTCTGCTTGATAGTCACTGTAGCCTGTGATTTAAAGGTGACATATTATGCCCCTTTTTACAATATGTAATATAAGTCTCTGATGTCCCCAGAATGTGTCTGAAGTTTCAGCTCAAAATACCCCACAGATCATTTATTATATCATTTTGAAAATGCCTATTTTGAGTGGAATCAGAAACACACAGTTTTTCGGGCCTGTCTCTTTTTAATGCAAATGAGCTGCTGCTCCCCACCCCCTTTTCCAGAATAGAGCTGCGCCATTACAGCTCGTACCTGCTAAAAAAACATCTGTTTTGGTTCTGATTATCATGTTTATCGCGCTGAAATCATGCGTTTTAAACCATATGAGTTTAAACTTCTGATATACGGTTTTCTGAGTGCACACATCCGAAGCACACGGACAGAAAGCAGCTGTCACAGCATGTGAGTACTAAACTAAGTTCGCATTCACACACACAAGTTTACGTTAAAAACACACGTGCGTTAACGTACAAAAAACAGTCGGTTATGTCTGTGAAGGTAAACAGCTGGGAAATAAATCATCAAAAAAACATCACGTTTATTTTAGATCTCTGTGGCAGCAGCAATATACAGTAAATAAATCAATAAATCCACTGCTCTCTTGTCTCCTCTGAGGCTGGGACTCTAAATAGTGTTCTGTGCTCGTCTGTGCAACCAAAGACAGAACAGTTAGCATGCCATGCTCAAACATTCGCCATGGCATTAGAACTGGTACACCGTTGTCGCTTGCGAAAATACAATAACTTACAGATTAAGGGGCGGTAATATTATAATGAGATCCCTTTGCCACGTCACCAAGGGAGAGAAATCAGACGCGCTCGTTTTCTCAGATGCTTGCAGAAAAAGGCTTCCCAAAACAAAGTTACTGGGTTAATCTTTTTCACGTTTCCTTGGTTGGTAGATGCGCTGGGGACCCGATTATAGCACTTAAAACCTGGAAAAGTCAGATTTTCATGATATGTCACCTTTAAATGTTTGATTCACTTGTTTATATTTAACCACAGTGGAATGAATATAATTTAATTGTATTTGAACTTGTTCTGCTTCAGGTGATCGTGTTTCAGCAAAGTCGTCAAAGAGGATACGTCAAAGGCGGGCTCTTCCAGTGTCCCCTTTAGTGGGAAGCACAGGTTCACAAGATCCTCAAAATGATTCAGGTTCTGTTCAGCAACTCCACAGTCAAGAGTCTCTGAAGGACACATCAGTAGATGATGGTGGGGGTGGTGATGGAGGATCAGAGAAGTGCACCAGGAGAAAAAGAGGATTGACAAAACAAAAGACCCAGTCGACTCCGAGAATCACAATCAAGTTGTTGGCTAAAAAGAAAGTGGTTACAGTCCCGTCAGTGCAACGTAAATCTGGTAAAAAACAAAAGGAAATCAAATCTGAAGTTACAGAGAGTCAGTGTGCCCAAATCTCAAGTGCTCATGTGAAATTAAAGACAAATGTAGCAGCCAGTGAATGCAGTGCTAGTGAGGCAAAGGAGGAGGTTTGCACTAGAAGGCGAGGAAGATCTGCTGACAAAAAATTAGAATCCACTCCACAAACAAATCCTGAAAAAGAGGGCAATGAGCAAAAACTGAAGCTGAGGAAATCAACTCGAAGGTCTCAAAATCCACTGCCCAGTGAAAATATAGAGTCAAAACCTGATGAAAAGTCAGCAATAGAAGCATCAGAGGTAAATAAGCTTGTGATTATGAGGCAGCGCAGAAGGTCCTCAAATGTTCCACAGGAATCTCGTGACCAGAGTTTAGTAGAGTCGATGTTGGAGGTCTCCACAATTGATGAATCCAGGCCACTTTCAAAGAAGAAAAAAGATAAAAAGAAAAAGAAGAAGAAAAATCGCAAAGAATCTGAAAGGAAACCAGAGCCTCATTCACCATCAGCAAAAGATCTTGGCCCTTCAGCTGATGATCCTCAAAAGCTCGCTTTCGACAATGATTTTGTCGGAATTCCAGGTCTAAAACTAACCAGGATACGAAACCCAAAAGCCCGGTCTCGCAAGAAACGCTGCAAGTTTGTGTGGACTCTCACTCTGGTGAAAAGCAAAAGCAAAGATTCCCAAATCCAAGAGAATTTAAGTAATACTCAAGAAAGCAAAAGCAAAGATTCCCAAGTCCAAGATGATCTCAGCAAAACACAAGAAATCAAAAGCCAAGATTCTCAAATCCAAGAGAGTCAGAGCAAAGTAGATGAAAGCCCCAGTACAGAGGCAGAACTTCCTCCTAAATGTGATGAGGAAGTAGATGTTTCTACAGAAGCAGAATCCACATCCACTCCTTCGAACATTTTGGAAACTGGCTCTTCACAGGAGTCACAAAACGTAGAGAACACTGTCGGTGCTGTAATTCCCGAAAGCACAGAGAACCCCGTGGCCATTGAGAAGGTTGAGGAGACCCCAGAAAAGGAAAGCAAGGGGGTTCTTGAAAGGTCAGAAATTGCAACAGAAGCACATCCAGAAGAGGCCACTCAGACGGACCCTGAAGATCTGATCAGTAAGGATGCCGTTCCACCACTTCAAATCAAAGTTGTCTCCTCACCAGGTAAAAAAAACTGTCTAAAGCAGTCCTTCTTAATTCAGCAAGTCACAACCTCACCTGAAAGAAAAGAACCCTCAAAAGTTGAAGACCCTCAGCATTCAGAGAAGAGTGAGAATGTGTTAGAAATTACTGCTGCCGCTCCCACCCCAAAAGTAAGGAAAAGGCAACATCAAAACACTGCTCGGAAGAAGCGTGCAAAACATAAACACTGGACAATTTACAGGCGAAAATGTAAATTGAATGCATCTCAAGAAAACCCCGCTTCTGAAACTGAAACCGAATCTCAGGTGGAGGAATCATCAGTATCACCAACAGCAGTCCCAGCACCTGTAGAATCCAAACCAAATAGGCATTCAAGTGAAGTTATGCATAAAATAGGTAAAAGGTCAGCTCCACCAACTATAGAACCATTACCTGAAGCCGCCAAACCTCAGGTCATCGAACAAACTGTTGAACCACCTCCAACCAACCCATTTCTTGGGACAGAACCCCAGCCAGAAATAAAACTTGAGGCACCATCAATTGAAACTGAAGAGGTTCTAGTATTAGAGCCTTCCGTAAAAGATCACCCACAGGTGCCTCGTCCTTCACGCAGGCGAATAAAACGGGTCAAACGAAGACGAAAATCTTTGATTGGCCGGCGGATTAAAAACTCAAAATTGCAAAAGAAGGAGTTGTTTGAGGTTAGTAATGATTTCCCACCGATAACGAGTAGTAGAAAGTCTTCTTCTGAAGTAGAAGAGCCTAAACTCTTTGGTATATTCTCAACAAAGTACAAGAGGAAACGAATATCGAGGCTTCAGTCATTAGAGGGTAGACGGAAAAAGGCCAAGCTCTTATCAAAGCAACTGGATAACACCAACGGAGATCAGCTTTCCGATCAGACAGAAAGGGATTCTGTCATTGTGAAAACTGACCGAGATCAGGACATCCAACAAAGCAAAACGAAGTTCATGAAAACTATTAGACATTTCATAATGCCAGTCGTGAGCGCCCGATCCTCTCGGGTTATCAAAACGCCAAAGAGGTTCATGGATGATCTTGGTATGTCAGGCCTTCCTCGCAAGAACTCCCAAAAGAAGCTTGGCCTACAACCAAAATCAAAGAAGCGTGATTCTAGTGAAAAAGGTGAACCTGAATCCTTTCAGTTTAAGGATGAAGATAACGATCTGAGTGAAGCTGATCTTGATTTGTCTTCCACTTGGGAATCAAAACCTAAATCACCCAATGATGCTGAGATCTTCAGTGAGGAGAAGCAGCCTGGGAAAAGACGATCGCTACTCCGAGATCCCAGTTTCAAATGGGGAGTGCTGGAGCCTGCCAGTGACGACGTGTATGCCTTCAATGAAGATCTTGACAAGGAGTTGGATACCTTGCTATCTGCCAAAGCTTTTACAGTGGACCCGTTTCTTGATCCCATCCAAAAGAAGAAAAAGTCCACCAAATTCAAAGTGCAATCATCAAAATTGAGGTTATACAAAAAGCTTAAACTCAAACAGAGTCTGGCAAGGCGTAAAAAGACCCCAAAGGACAAAATGATTCAAGTTGTATCATCCCCTGCTAAGACACAGAAGGAGGAGTTGGAAGAAGGGGCCAGTCTAATAAAGTCTCTCAAAGACATGAAGAAGGAAAAAGCTAAACTCAAGATTGAGGATCTCAACACCCCTGGGGTTGTTCGCAAAGTCTCCATCTGTGTCCGAGCTCTGAGTGCCAAGTTGCTGGCGCAACACCAGGCGAAAGACATCCAAGAGGATGACCTGCCAGATGAGTTCTCCATTCATACAGACATCTCACTTCCAAACAAATGTAAAGGTAGGTCAAGATTTGATTTTTCTAACTGACTTGAAGTAAACATGAAATCCAAATTGACTTTCGTAATGCATGTTCTTAAAAAGACTTAAATAGTCTTCTAAATTGTCCAGTGAGTTAACACAGTTAGTGCTGTCAAATGATTAATCGTGATTAATCGCATGCAAAATAAAGACTCAAATGAAGGTGTAGAACCATCTCCAGGATGATCAGAAGAAATGGACAGCCCCTGAGTTAAATATATGAGTGTCACAGCAAAGGGTCTGAATACTTAGGACCATGTGATATTTCAGTTTTTCTTTTTTAATAAATCTGCAAAAATGTCAACAATTCTGTGTTTTTCTGTCAATATGGGGTGCTGTGTGTACATTAATGAGGAAAAAAAATAACTTAAATGATTTTAGCAAATGGCTGCAATATAACAAAGAGTGAAACATTTAAGGGGGTCTGAATACTTTCCGTACCCACTGTATATGCATGTGTACTGTGTATATTTATTATGTATATATAAATACACAAACATTAGGGGTGTGAACCTACACTGGTTTCACGGTTCGGTTCGATTACGATTATCACGTCATCGATTCGGTTCAATTCGATATCATGATGCATCACAATTTTAAAATCAATGAATTTTACTTTGCATGTATACAATTTTGTCAATAAATACAAGCAGTCAGATATATGAACTGTACCTGACATGGTTTCCCAAGTTAGTGGTATTACCCCCTGCATATTTTATTGTGTGTGACATGGTTTACACACAGCGTGTGTCTTCTCCAGGTCGTGCTTACCAGGTTGTTCATAAAATCCGAAATGTGCCCAGATGTCGGCTTTAAAGTAGTTGTTGGAGCATTTCTAATTACTCGCACCTCACCACCCTCCACCATTAGGCGCGTTCGACTTGAAGCGGCACTGCGTGAGTGTATGACATCAACCGCGAGAGCGATTCGAAAGCATAAGGATCCGTCTGCTCTCTTAGCGCTCTCACAGTACTTGATGTCATACACTGATCATTCTGCTCAGCGGCGCTTCAAGCTGAACGCGCTTAATGTATGCTACTGCGACAAAGCATGTATGCGACAAATGACATCAGAAAAGCAAATTGGGATTTTTTTTGACAGATTTTGCGATTTTACATTTGCAAAGTCAAGCTTCAGCTCAATATTGTCAATAATGTGCAGCACAGTATGGGTATCATTACCCTGCTGAAAAAAACAATAGAAACCATCACAGAAATTTGTATAGTTTCCATTAAACCATTAAAAAATTCCTTTTTGTTTTAGCATTATTCCAATAGGAATTACTGTTGTTCTATTGGTTGCCATCTGCCAGATTACATCCCACCAATAGAATCCATCAAATAGACACCATTATAGTTGACATTAAAACCAAACAAATTCCCATTATAACCCTGAAATACATTAAATTTGTTATTGTGTTTTGGGAGGGGTACTATTGTTTTTTTCCTCAACAGGCAAGATTATAATGGTATAACTACTTTTACAGAATTAACTTAATTACTGAATTTCACAGAAAATATTAATTTTTTATAAATAAAGAACTGTATTTCTTAAGTCAATTATTAAAGTATTTCATTGATTTATTCATTTTAAGTATTTGGGATTTTAAGAGCAAGTGGAAAATGTGCTCCAAGTGAAATTTCATTCAAGTGAAATTAGCAAGCAGTTAGACTGAATTTACATTTGTTTTAAACGCGTAGCCAGGCGCGAGTCGACACAGGTTGCGCGCGTGCGTCAAGCCTCATCTATACTGCCAGATGCGCTCATGGAGACTTGCGGTGTGGAGCCGGGTGCGAGTATAAACGAGCATTACGAGACAGGCTGCGTGAGTGCGGCAAGCATGAATGGCTCGTCCGTGACGCGGGATTCGTGCCACGTGGTCCAGTGAGGAGCGAGTATGAGAAGCATTCACAGACACAGGCTGTGTGTGCACTCTTCTGAATTGGGAATAGCCAACATGCATTATAAACTTATTTCAAATAAATCTGTTGGGGAAAACAAAAACATCTAAGAATGTATCTTTTATTCTCCAGTACTGAAAACAGAACCTATAAGGGAGCTCTTGATATGCACTGTGATGCAGCTCTTGCAAATTACCTTTTTTGTTTGTTTTCTGTCATTTCGAAGCTTAAGTTGCATACGGTTTTCTTTAGTTTTAATTTGCCTAACTATCGATCTGACCAAGTAGACGCCATAATCCCACTCTGTCTCTCTCCCGTCCCGCGTTACGTTTTTTTTTTAATAATGGTGGGTGTTTACGCAGTTGGCTAGAGCAGTGCTGATTGGGGAGAACGGAGGTGCGCTCACTCTATTGGTTAGTAAGATTGCAACTCAAGGCTGGCAGTTATGCATATGCTCTGGAGCGGTGTAATATCGCGTCCACATCGCAGGCTTTGCGATTAGGAAATCGCAACGTCTCAAATCACGATTTCGGTTAGATTTTGATTAATCGCACAGCCCTAATTTCGACACCCATAACAAACATACATGTATGTATTTAAAAAAATAATGTGCGTATATACAGATAGGGTTTAGGTCTGGAGACATGCTTGGCCAATCCATCACCTTTATCCTCAGCTTCTTTAGCAAGGCAGTGGTCATCTTGGAGGTGTGTTTTGGGGTCGTTATCATCTTGGAATACTGCCCTGCGGCCCAGTCTCCAAAGGGAGGGTATCATGCTCTGCTTCAGTATGTCACAGTACATGTTGGCATTCATGGTTCCCTCAATGAAATGTAGCTCCCCAGTGCCGGCAACACTCATGCAGCCCCAGACCATGACACTCCCACCACCATGCTTGACTGTAGGCAAGACACACTTGTCTTTGTACTCCTCACCTGGTTGCCGCCACACACGCTTGACACCATCTGAACCAAATAAGTTTATCTTGGTCTCATCAGACCACAGGGCATGGTTCCAGTAATCCATTTTAGGCTTGTCTTCAGCAAACTGTTTGCAGGCTTTCTTGTGCATCATCTTTAGAAGAGGCTTCCTCCTGGGACTACAGCCATGCAGACCAATTTGATGCAGTGTGCTGCGTATGGTCTGAGCACTGACAGGCTGACCCCCC